AGTGACTGGAGTTCAGACGTGTGCTCTTCCGATCTAGGACAATAAAAATTTATATCTATATACATTAATTATTCTTTATATTTTGTTATAATATTTATTAACAACCACCCATCTAATTCTTACATCCTTCTGATATCCTTTAAATTTCCCGCAATTTGCCACACGGGGCGGGGCTAAAGCCAACTTCATGTTGGATACATAACCTTATGGGTGAGAGGGGTGGTGGGACGGGGCAACTAGCGGTCCATGATTATATAGTCAAAGTATGCTCCTCCATGGGCAGAGACTGGAGTACTTCTCGGGTTAACCGCATATCTATGCGCATGCTCACATTGCTCACGTCGCTGTATTTCGTCGATATGACAGATCAGACTATTCAGACAGATTTCCTAACCTAAATAGTCATCAACTTTAGCGACTAAATTAATATCTCGGTTCTCGGGACAGCGACGCTTTTTTCTATCAGATTCTTTCATTTCATGGAAAAACGCAACAAAAAAACTTAATTTTATCAATATTGGATATAAAGTCGCTAAATTGAATTACCGATAGTCTAGGTCTAGGTTGATGCATTTTTGTTCAAGTAGTTGCGTTCCAAGCAGAAGTATTGCATTTGCATCTACATATTCGTATGTAGTGTCGTAGTGTCGTATGTTATGATACACTTCTAAATTATTAAATCCGAGTAATGTAATTGGCACGACGTATGTATGTACTGTACATATATTTTTTGTACTACACAATGCGAAAAGTTAAGTCTTAATTTGTTTCAGAGAACAAACCTATGGTTCTTCGCTTTGACAGTTTGTAATAAATCACGATGAACAGGTTCGAATTCGCTGATTCTCGATTTGTGTCAAACGAGGTTTATATAAGATGTGATGCAGCGGTACGTCTCTACGACGGTGATACGAAGGTAATAATTTCTACAGTCGCTACTTGCGACTGAAAAAATCAATTTCATACAGTAACTCGAAGAAAAAACTGTGTTACGTTCAGATTTTATCCTAGCCAAATCTGTAAAGACTGAACAGAGTCTGCTATAAATTTTTGATGACAGAAAAGCGATAAATTTCACACAGGATCTATAATAACTGATGATATTGGCAAGCTGCCTCTAGAAATCAGATCAGACTTTACAGAACTTACTGACATTCTATGGCAGTAGATTGGCGCTAGAAACTAAGGAAAGAACAGAACTTGCTGTTAATATAACCTAATATCAGATAGAGCAGATTTCAACTTGATCTGCGCTGTCATTAAATACATGCAAAACTACTGTTAGCTAGTGCCTGTTTCTCATATATAAAATTTGTTCTAATCAAAGCTTGTCAATTATTTGTGTATTATTTACATATATGTAATACTATATATTGCTAATCACATGGTTTCTCACAATAAGGAAGCGAGATAAAAAATCATAATATATATATGAAAGGATGAATTTTGCGCATATGCTAAAAATGAGAAGAAGCAAGAGGTTGATACATCTGCATTTTGATATCTGTGTCTTACTGTATTGAAGTATTTAAAAGCTAACGAACATTATTTATTGTTAAAAGATAATTTCTGATATTATATAGAGAAAAAAAAGTAGTGATACAAATTTTATAATATTTAAAAATTCTCAGAACCTAATGCTTTAATGTAAAAGATATTAATTTATATTAGTAAAAAAGTTTAAAATTATTTTAAATAAAAAAATAGAACGTCATTTTTATAGATCTTTCAATACTAATGATTTAAAAATATTTACAAAACAGTAAAGTCTGCTTGGTTTTTACTGCCATTATAAGTATCAGTGAATTCTTCTCTCTCTCGGTTTTTAGTTTGCTTAATTACATGAACTTAATTACATGAGAACAAATTCTATCAATAATTCAATGTGGATGTAGTTAATATTAGTCTGCTAATATATTCTGATGCAATCTGTCGCCAATCTGCCAACATTCTGCTTATGAGAACAATTGATCATTCTAAGTTTAAACCACAGATTTAAACAAAAAATACTAAAATAACTTTTATTTTGCTAGACAAATTTTGAAAATGGTGAATTGATTCTAACTAGTCACAGAATACTTTGGGGCAAACCTGGCGATATACCACGAGGTAATACCTGTTTGTCATTGTCACTTAGACATATTGTTTTCTTCGAAGAAGAAAATCCTGGACCGTTTTCTTTTGGGCGTAGCAAAAAAATTGTATTGCATCTCTCAGAACCTGTTATTGGTAAGACTTGCTGAAGCTATATGAACGGAATTATTTATAATTTATTTGGTTAAACTAATGATTTATATGTTTGTAGATAAGATGCCAGGTCCAGCAGATAATAGTTTGTACAATTATGTCAAATTATCGTTTAAAGAAGGTCTGGACTCAAATTTTATAACACAGTTGTCTGATACTATTATGAGACGAATGTGGGAGTTTACTCCTGCCACTGGATTAATCATGTCCAATGTAAATGATAATCAAGGAAACGCAAAACTGCCTCACATAAAAACGCGGACGGGTATTATAGGCATTGAGAGAAGTCTACAAGAAAAACAGAAAGAAACTGACAAAAGTATATCATTGGCATTCCAAGATCTTACAAAACTTATGGATATGGCTAAAGATATGGTTGCTATCTCAAAGACCATTTCAGCTAAAATAAGGGTGATTTTTAATTATCTTTTCGTAAATCTGAAATTTAATAGATTAAGGTTCATAATGCGGAATTATTGCAGGAAAGACAAGGAGATATAACGGAGGATGAAACTGTTAGATTTAAGGCTTACTTAATGAGCTTGGGTATCGATGATCCAGTAACGAGAGATGCGTACAAGAGTAGCAACGAGTACTTTGTACAATTAGCAAAGCAGCTTGCGTGTATCTTGGAAGAGCCAATAAAGGTTTGCAGTTCATATACTTTACTGAATGTAAAGAACGATTAAAAATGTTATATGTGATTTCAGGAAATAGGTGGTATGATGACACTCACAGATGTTTATTGTCGTGTAAACAGAGCCAGAGGTTTGGAACTTTTGTCTCCTGAAGATTTGTTACATGCCAGCAGACAATTGGCACCCTTAGGTTTGCCAATTGTTTTAAGAAGTTTTGATAGTGGCGTTATGGTTCTTCAAATTCGTTCTCACAACGATAATGCTGTCGTTGATCGTATAAGAGAATTGGTAAGCACTAAATAATGCGCTAAGTAGCTCTATATAACAAAAAATATTTAACTCTTATTTTATTTCTTATAAAATTTTAGTTGAAAGAAAAAGGATCTATGACGGCCGAAGATCTTGCACAATCAGACGGTATATCAATATTGTTAGCACGCGAACAATTACTAGTCACGGAGAAACATGGCAAAGCTTGCAGAGACGATTCGATAGAAGCTCTGAGATTTTATCCCAATCTATTTTTAGAAGAAATATCTAGTGAATAATTTTCTGCTGTCACAAATATGTACGATTATCTTTTTAAATTTATGGTTAGCTGTCATATAACAAATGCTTCAAAGTATATTTTTGTCAAGTTTTCACATGTCCAAGTTGCATTTAATGCGAAGTGCTTTAAATTAAACGTTTAAATTGAATTGTTTCGTAAAATGTAAATAATACTTATTTTTAAGCATAACTATTTCTTTATAAAGTAAATATATTGTGCTTTTGGAATAATTTAAATCTATTGATAATATCTAATTATTTTCCTTCCCTAAATCTCAAATATTGTTCTAAAAAATACTTATAATCATATAATTATATATTTTAAAACATTTTAAAAAAAAACGTACTTTATTGAAAATTAATAAGATGAACAATAAAATAAATTTTACATGTATGTTTACTGGCAGTAATATAAGTAGTAATAATTGGAAATAATTCTTAAAATAATAAAAAAATATTGATTAATAACAAAAAAAGACATTTATATAAAATTCAATATAATTATGTAAGTTTATTAAATTGTTGATGAATAAAGTAAATGCATGCTTCTTACATTTATAACACATAACAAAATACTACTCATCAGATAAGATAATGAAACGTGAGGCATTGTCCATTAATCGAAATATACATTTTTTAAAATTTATTCATCAAACGAATTGTGAACCGCAACCACGATTAACAATGATCGTGTACATTTTATACGATTAATAGTACATGACTTCGTATAAGTATGCATACACAGGATGGAAATTTTTTTTCTAAAATAGTGGGCCAATGCTTTTAATTGTAGTGTTTTTAGAAAATTTAGAATTGATTTTTATAAATTAGTTATTTTTTCCACTTTTTAATTTTCATTAAATATTAACTTTTTACAATTAAGTCTTAAATTAAAATTCTGTTAAAGTCCATTTGAGACTATGTGAGGAATAACATTTTGTTATACATTTATATAATCTACATAGTTTTTTTAATGTGTTAAGTTTTTTATAATTAATAAATTATATTATTAATTTTAAACATTATATCAATTTATGTTCGAATTAGTAAAAATATTAAATCTTAACATACATTAACATAACATTATCTTAACATATATTTTAGGAAGAAATTCATTTAGTAATTTAATTTAAGAATATACTAATGACTTATTCTGATCCACTATTTCAGAGATACACCCTGTATTGGACATTTTGTACAGCAAAAAAATTGATTTGCTGTACAGTTACTGTCCACCATCACTAAATTACAATATTTTTCACAAGTCAATGCAGTTATGATTTTCGTACAATTAATATAGTATAGTACAAGATATCGTATAACGATGTATATTATATTTTGCGAACATTATCTCGAACGTACCTGCTTTAAAAACTATTTCACTAATATTAATTGGAACATCAAAAGCTACAATTAATTTTTACATATTATAAATACATATAAATACATATACAAATTACATATTAATAAATAAATTGCATATTTTACTTTGGATAAAATACCAATAATCGTAAATGTATAATACATATCTGTAATTATTGTACATTATTGTGCATTATAAATATTTTGGAAACAATAAAATTCACGTTCATATTTTATTTAAATTCGACAAAGATTAATATCAATCCTGTTCAATCATAAAAATTAATTGTGCAATATAATAATCCTGTAAAAATTTACCTTTTTATTAATCTTAGAATTAATTGTTCAAATTAAGGTACGTTCGAGTGTATTTTGAAATGTAATAGGGAAGGCTTGATAGGATTTATTCTTTAAAAGATTTCACTTTAATCAACGAAGATTATGTAACGCACATACATATACAGGATGGGGTAAATGTGCCCTTATTATATCACAGAGAGGCGTAACAAAAATATAAAATAATTTAAATTTTAGTATTAACATTTTATATATGTGAATCGTACACCCACATGCAATGGCTACGTGTTCATGATTCGTCCCACAAATTATTAACATCATAAATTATTAATTAATAATAACAAGATATATCGGAATATTTATCATACAATATTGCTATAATTGATTAATTTAAAGTATTACTGGTATAAAATATATAACTGACGTTACATTTTTCACATAACATATATATTAACATACATTAAATTATTTATAAGTAATTATAGTTTTATTAACAGAAGCTATTATTTATTATTGATACACGTAGCGACGACGCTATTTGTAGTACGAATCACTTTGCACTATTATTGTCATTATCACTCGATTCACACACACACTCTCTTTCTCTCTCTCTCTCCGCCCTCCTCCTTCTTTTCACACTTCTCCTTCTCCTTTTTACACTTTCCTAGCTGTCTCCCTCTTTCTCTTTTCACTTCTTTTTGCTTTTTTGTTTACGTATTTTTTATTTTATGTCTTTTATTCTTTTGAGTTTTTCTTCCTTTATTCTCTCTTATCTCGCTTCATTGGATTATTTTCTATGCTATAATCGCTTTTTATTCTTTTTACTCTTTTATTTATCTTTTTCTCTGTTTTAATCGCTACAGCTAGCTGTACTAGCTTCTAACAAAATTAAATTCTGAAAAACGAGATGTAAACAGTTCTCATTTTTTCCCCTGAATTCGTCCTGCGCAATTAGGATGTATTAGGTTTAATTTCAACGTACATACGTATATACGAGAATCCCAGAAGATGACGCGTACCAGTAATTCGAGCACTTTGTGTTTTTATGTGCAATATCTTTATACGTTACAATCAGTAGAAAGTCGGGCAACCATGTTTTCATTAAAATTTGGAGAACAAAGTTCTTTTGTTTTTTCCAATTGCAGCCACTTTCTGCAGTGCCGCGTATATGATGTCTATGTGTATCAAACATAGACATTTAACAGTACATATACGTTATGTGTATATGCGCATAGACGCAAATTGCATATAGGTATGAAGAATAAAAGTTTTAGTTTTGTGCCGATATACAAACAGTGTTAAATGTTAATTTGCTTATTTTGGCTTATATGTATATATTATATATGTGCAGATTATACGTACAGATTATACGTACGATTTTTTTATGTACAGTGTTTTATCATTATATAGATATAGCTTAAATTATAATTTATAAATTTTTATTATAATTTACGCGTATATTTTTTATGCAATTCAAAACTATTTCGAACAAAATATTTTAACAAAGTTATTTTAAAAGTGCACGCGATAAAGTTGCTTTCATAAACAAAATTCCAAATTATTAATTAATTAATCTAATTTTAAATAAAAATTCAATTGTAACTAATTTTAGAAATTTAACAATAAATGAATATGAAAAAGTTAAATTAATAAATTAAACTCAGCGACAGAGTATAATCAATCAAATATCACGATTCAAAAAGCTGATAAAAAGAATTTAGGATTTAATCGAATCTGTGATCTATAAATTATCTGTGATAATTATTCCATTTTTAATAGTAATATGATTTTCTATCATTATTAGACATCTGTGCCCTTCGCAAAATACGCATTTTCCAAATCAATACATTGTTCATTTCATTAAACTATTCTTGCGCAAGAACCATGTACATGTATATATTACATATATCAATGTGAAAATAAGTATTGTTCGTGCCTTATAAATAGATTTATGAAATAGAAATAATGAGAGATGAGCGATAATTAGTCTCATTAATAATTAGATAGAAAAACCTACGTAAATTTTAGTACATGTGAAGTAAAGAATGATATATGTATATATATATGTTCACATAATAGTATATATATATATATATATATATATATATATATATATATATATAATTGGTTTCTATATGTATAATAGAGATATAGTATAGATTGTAAAATTTTGTTTATAATGCCTTCTTTATACATATATGGGTGTTTAAAAAAGATCGGAACTCCGAATTTTTCGAAAGGAAGACGTTTTTCAAAAAAATGTTTCAAACAAAAGTTGTAGAGTTTAAAAAGATCTATTTACTAATCTTATCGATTTGACCTTGGGCCAAGGCCAGGTAAAGGTCACATTAATTTTTTTTAATGAAACACCCTATTTTTTATTGCAGAATCTAATAACTGATGTCAAGAATTTTCCAACACTATAATAAAGTATTTTTTAATTAAGTAAATCTCAAGTTATGAAGCTTGAAAATTACAATACAAAACCTTTTGAATGTTGTTCAGGATCATAAGCTTAACAATATATGTCAAGATCATGACTATTGCAGACATGTTCCTTTTTTTTCAAAAAATAAAAATAATTTTCAAAAATGAAAATAAGAGCATCAACCTTTAATGGCCTTAATCTTGACGTATGTTGTTAAGGTCATGATCGTGAACAACATGCAAAAAGTTTTAGCCATTGTTCGGATAGTTTGGATAATTCTAATGCCGGCGGTACATGTAACTTTCAAGCTTCATAACTCGAGATTTACTTAACCAAAAAATATTTTATTATTATGCTTTGGAAAGCTCTTAACACCAGATATTAGATTCTGGAATTAGAAATAAGGTGCTTTATTTAGAAAAATTAATGTAACCTTTACCTAACCTTAGCGATGTCAAGATGTCCAAGATAAAACCGATAAAATCAGTAAATCGATTTTTTAAACCCTACAATTTTTGTTTGAAACTTTTTTTTGAAAAACGTTTTTCTTTCAAATAAATCCGGGATCCCGACCTTTTTTGAACAATCTGTATATAGTATACGTACATATATAATGGATTGAAAGAAAAGTAATGTCGTATTTTCTCTCTTATAGACGGCTATAATGTATTTATTTGTTAAGAAAAATGTGTTAAGAAACTTTAATCTAAATGTCGTAAATGTATACTATTGTGATAGCTAAAACGTCTATTATTTAATGTGTGGAAATCGTATGTAAAAGCGTTTGTGTTCATATGAGATTGAGAAAGAAATGGAATAAAACAAATTGTATTTTGGCTGTTTGATGCCGTTTTCTTCCGAAAAGGTACTTCCAAAAAGAAAAAAAGTGCGATGTAAAAAAATATGTGTTATGTATAGAGAGGATGCCGTAATCGAACGCATGAGCTAGCAATTTTTTATGTGCCATATTCAACAGTTTTTCACTAAGAAAACGCCCCAGTTCTACGTGCGAGGAATTACGTATACATATGTATATGCAGCTGCCTAAAAGATGAAAAGTTATAGAAAACGATGGCCGTTATATTACTGATTAAATTATTTTTAAATATGAATAAATTTGCTCCAATTTTGAATTAAAACTATGACATTATTATCCTTCCAATCCAATAATATGTGTACACATGTGCACGCGTACAGAGACTAAATTTGTGAATTTTATTATGTATGTAGAAGTACAAAAGTTATAGATATAGAATAGGTGTGTTGAGGTCCAAAAGGCTGTCTAATTCGTGCGAGTCGTTTAACGATTATTTTGTGTTTTTGTTTTAGTAGTGGTCGAACATCATGAGTTCGATCGACGATGTCGGAACCGTGGATCTAGAGACACGCTGATGTCTCGATATTGCACTCTGTAAAATAAATTTTCAAAAAAAGAAAAGAACATGGCTTAATAATAAGAGAAGCTCACAAGGATTTATTCTGTAAAAATAAATTTCGTTAAAGTCTGCAATAATTTTATAAGTAAATTTTCTTTCACACATTCTTTTCATCGTAAATAACAGCGCTTCATATTACTGAAATTCCATATAATTATTAAATGTTAAATATAATTAGAAATCTAAAATAGGATTGCAAAAAATTTACTGGAAGAAATCACAATTTTTGTTTAAAAAATTTAATTGATTAATTTTATTAAAAAAATAAAAAATTATACAAAGAATCTTGTTTTTCAAGAGAAAATTAAATGAAACCTAATTGCAAAGATTATGCATTCAATGTAATATATACATTACAGAATAATTCCTATCAGTTCTCTGTAAATTTGTTTAATGCTCAGGATTTTTTCATTGTTTGACATTCATTCTTGATTATAATTGAAAACTAATAAAATTTGCACTCAAGCTCTTTTACTGTGTTGAATAAATTAAAAAAAATTTCCTTAGTATAAATCACAAAAGAATAAGCATGCATGTCACACATAGATCATTCAATATATCAGGAGCGCTTTTTTAAGGGATACTTATATGGAAAGGTCTAGCATCTCCCTTACACTTTAATTTACAATATTCTTAAGGCTAATCTACATTTAACTCTAATGATAGTCAAAACTTGTGACCCTTAGTTTTTAAAAGGCAATGCATCATCCAAAAAATCAACATATAATACATATATTTATCGGGAAGTTATGGCGATTATGTAATATTATATAACTTTTTTTTACGGATGCAACGAAATCATCGTATCTAGTCTTGTCCGCAAAATAATTCCCACATCATTGAATATTACAATTCGGACTCTGATTTTCGTCGCATAGATCGCATTATCATTGAACATGGAATGTATCGTAATCGGTCGATTAGCATGTCCGTGAAAAAATATCTGTCTTCTTCATCTATGGCAAAATTGTGCATCAACTTTGTGTATTTCATATATGTTTGGTGTACACATTATAGAAAAAGCAATTGATAATGTCGAAAAAACTCAAAATTTATGAATTATTTATTCCTAAACAGTTTCGTAATAAGTGAATTATGCGGATAATAAATAAAAAGTTCCAAGTTTTGCTAACAACTACATGATTGATTTTGAAGTTGTATAGCATTAAGCGTTTATAGTTTAATTTAATTCTGTAGATTAATTTGTAATCTATTTCCTAAGAGAGAGAAACTTACAGTTAAAATATTCGTAAATATTCCAAAATGAATTTAATTGCTTTAAAAGAGTGAATTGCTTAGAAAGAGATATGTAACAGAACACATAAATTTTGCTTCAGTCGGCTGCGTTGAATCCCTTTAAATAGTTTAATTATCTGTTTAGAAGGATGATTTAATTGCTACGATTGATTGCAATTTTCACAATTTTTCGAGTAACAATTTAATCACAAAATTTACTCGATCTGTTCTAATTACTCATATCATGTGATTTAGACAAACGATGGTGCGGATCACTTTGTTCATTCATGCTTGACGATGAATTCAGTACAGATTAACTGAATAATTACGATAATTTGTATTAGCTCGTGCGATTCAGTAGTATACATATAATTTTGTTAATAAATTCCGTCATCAACAATATCGCGCGTATTTTGCCACGCGATGGTCTAAACGACCATTAACAGTAAATAGACATGGTGCGCTTACAATGCGCATCTTCATGAAATTTTATTTTATTTTATGTAGATTATTTATATGTGTACTCTTGCCAACGTTAAATACATCAAAGAAAGGCGGGCGTGACATAGAATTTTATATAAGAAGATCCAAGATCATCATAGTACTGTTCAAGATTGTTTCGCAAACTGCTATTCTGGTTACTTTTGAATCGAACACGATTCTGTTTCTACTTCCTGAGAGGATGCCACATAGCGACTGGACGTCGCAAGGCCGTTAACATCTGTCTCCAATGAGCCAATGCTTTTCCCGTCGAGGTAGATCCTACAATGATGTGCCCTACGGAGTACGCCTTTGGATTTGTTCCTTGGTCTCCGTTCAATTCCGCCACCGTCAGTCTCAACTGTATAGTCTAACAAAAATAATTACATTTAATGCCATTCTCAGAGAAAAAGGATAACCAGGCAAAAATTGTATGTTAAAAATTGGCTCGTATTTTGGATTAGAACAAAATAGAAATTAGAGGAAATAAAGGCTAAAACGAACAAAGAAAAATGTTGCATATAATTATATTATTTTATTCGATAATATTAAAGCGGAACGTTTCAACTTTACTAACAATAAGTCTTCTTCAGCCACAAATTCGAAATTTCTAATTATAATCAATTATTGAGTCATCCGGAAAGTTTTCACTCACGGGGACAGGTTCAAATGATCATGTACAATACTTTTTGCAATTTATAATTTCTCTGCCAGTTCTTGTACTGTATAACGAGGATTTTCAGCGATGCTCTATCAGTAAATCATCATCAACAATGCAAGAACGTCCAGATCGCGCTTCGTTTTTGAGAATAAAATCACTTTGCTGAAATTTCACAAACCCCCTCCGAATTGTATCATCAAACAGTACCTTGTCCGTAGATTTTACAAATTTTACGCGCTGTCTCGTATACATTCTTGCCCTTTCTGAAGTAGAAAAGTATAATATTGCAAAAATGTTGTTTCTGATTCTCCATCTTTCAGGCACTATAGAATCGAATATACTGAACATATTGTTACGTCCGGGGTGGTGGAACCCTCGCGTTCACGCACTCGTTCGCGTATCGTTCGCGCTTCCGCACTCGCGTTCGCGCACGCGCACCGGAAGACCGCGGGAAAATAAGAGGAACACTAATTAAGAACAAGGAACACTCTTTATTATTATAACTGTGAACAGAACGTAACGAATGAATAGAGCGGGTCGAAGCACGTCAGTACGGAATGACAGCTCGTCCCAAAATCTAAAAGCGTCCGTTTGACATCGGCCGGCTCATTGTTAGGGAAACGCGCTTCGCAGCTTCTCGCAATCGGTAGTTTGCCTCGACTCGCTCAAGATCGAACGGCGCGGGCATAACAATATGCCATTATGTAATAAACGCATTGTTTAAACAAAAGACTGCTCTTTCTTATCAATCTGAAGTTTAAGTTTTCTCATTCAGAATTAGTGCAAAATTCAAACTGGTATCCGTGCAGATATGAGGAAACTGCAGAACTTTCCGGATGACTCGGCCAATACATTAATCTTGCAATTAGTCGGAAAATACATAACATTTCTCTTCGGGTGTGAGTTATAGTTCTATACTATATAACCCACACCAGAAAAGAAACGTTCTCCTCTAATATTATCAAATAAAATTATATAATTATATGCAACATCTTTCTTTGCTCGTTTTATTGGCCTTTATTTCCTCTAGCTTCTAACTATAACCAGGTAAATTTATGTAGAAAACAGATTTATCGAGAACTATAATATTTATAAAAAATTTAGTAAAATATCTATCTGTTAAATAAATATTATTGAATAAAAAATGTCTCTCATTAACTAATTAATTCGAAAGCTTACTTAATTTCAACAATTCTTATCTAAATACTACTTTTGGAAATTAAATCTTTACTAGAATAAATATCTTTATTACGATTGTTGTTATTGAGAAAAATAGAAATTTAATTTAAAACCTGTAAAGCGTGCGCTGGCACACTGAATATTATCGCCTCGTTGAAGATCGGACTTTTCTCGCCTTTCTTTACGGATGTCTTTTTCTTGTGCATCTTTTTTCCTTGTTGTAGCAGATATACCTTGGTGAAAAATCATTTAAATGTCTTTTAAAATCCGCTTATCGAAATATACAAATGAAAGAGCGATGCTTAAATTACCTTAACGAAGAAATCACCCGGAGATGAATTCGCTCCGTGCAAGTTGCGCGCTTTAACGACTACAAGGGTGAGTCTCTCTGCCGTTGGCAAGTAACTGAGAGAGAACATTAACTCTCCTAAATGCGGAGTGGGTAAGGCAGGACCACTAAGTGCTAGCCAAGTCGTAGCTGGCGGCCTCGCTGCGGGGCCGAGCTTCAAACTGGCTTCGCCGATTAAAGACGCGCCACCACCGATGTTAGAGTCATCAGAAAATACCTGAGTAATGAAAAAAAGGAATTTATTTTAATTTATGTCTTAAATTATTATAGATTGATGTTTGATAGAAAAATAAATTGATTCGTTTAGTTGATCATTCATAATACTCAAATAGAGACTATGCGATAAGAAATCAATAGCGAAGACTACCTCAACAAGAAGTGTTTTGCCTGTTGGGCCGCCATCGAGAGGAAATAAAAATTTTTCCTGATAACTAGGCGATGGACATCCCCTATAAATTCTCGTTTGCACATGGGTTTGCCTGTCGGGTAGTAAACACACCCTACAAAGAAAAAATAGTTTTATATAGGATCCAATAATTCTTATGACAACACTCATGTGCAAATAGAGCTATTATATTTAAACTTTGATCTAAATCGAAAAGTCCTGTACTATTTTGCAATTTTCACAATAGTTATAACGAAAAATTAATTTATCACAGGACATTCCGACTCAATCTGCACACGAGCCACACGTTGTCACGCGAGGATACTCTGTATACATATATGCATTAAGATTTTTCAATTAATTAAATTATAATCTGAAAGTTGTCTTAAATTCTTTTTTTTTTTCTAAAAAAAGTTCTAAAAAATTACAAAGTATCAAATTACAAGATGACAAATTTCGTCCATTTTTTAGACCTGGAATTTCAAACTTTTTTATGGCAAATAGTACTATTAGATGAAACATTAATCCCAGTAAAATTTCAAGATGAGCATAGGCACGGTTCCAGAGATACAAAGGAGTGGAAGTGATGATTTCTAGTCAGGGTGTATTGCATAAGGAAGAATGCGTGGCTGAAGTTTATTGGTAATATTGAGGGTATATTCTGTCGAATGGATCATCTACGATTCATTATTCAGAGAACGATCTACTATTCACCGCTATTTCATTTATTGAGGGGACGTGCTTTATAAAGCACCCTGAAAATACATTCCATATTAATCACTGACCAAATTCAATTACCGAGGAAGTACTCAAATTGAAAGATATTTTTTCATATCTTGACGATCATTGATTCTTCAATAAAGCAATGCCTTTCACTAAATGTTTAGGTTGTAATGATCAAAAAAGATCGAAAAATGATAAGTTTTTCTATCGAAGATACATCGAATTTGTTGATGATGGTTAACAATTTACGGAAAAATAATCCGAAGAAACGAAAATTACAAGAATTGAACCACATTCCATCACAGAGTAAAATATGCAAAAACTGTTACCAACTTAGTAATCGATCAAAAATTATCTCAAGATCACAGATGGATGATGATCCAGATACACCTGATCTCTCGATTTATTGTCAAAGTTAATTCTCATTCAAGATGCACTTTTAGCTGCAAAAACCCTCCAATCTGTGAGAGGCAAAAGGACTCATAGTAGAAAAGCATCCCGATCCGTGAGAAGCGGCGTCAAGTGTTCTTCAACTCCATCTATCTCGGGGAATTTTCATGCTAGAAGAAAACTAATGTTATTTTTTAATCCGGCATAAAAAAATCCATAAGAAACGATATGTTTCACTTCGTTAAAATATATATTTTATTCCTTGATATGGACACTTGAAGAGTTTCGTGTACTTTTATGGGTTATGAGAAATCATCACTTTCACCCCTTCATATCTCCGGAACCGTGCCTGTGCTTATCTTAAAATTTCTCTAGGATTAATGTTACATCATATAGTACTATTTGGCATAAAAAAAAGTTTGAAATTTGAAGTCCAAAAAATGGGCGAAAAAGCAGGTCTTTTTGCCATCACTCTTTGCTATTAATTTATTAAAGAATGTCATAAAAAATATCATAATATATATATATATATATATATATATATATACACGCTAAAGTTTATACAGAATGAGCCAGAATATGGATAGTAACAACCAAAGAAAATTATTCTACATGCAAAATATTAATTGTCATTTTCGAGATAATCAATCGAGTTTGAAAATTTCTCGAGTATGTGTGCACTTCTCTAACTCTCGATTCGACTTAAAACGGATTTATTATACGCAAATACGTTAATAATATTATAAACAATACTTAATTTATAACATATTTTAGCAATTTCAACAATTACATTTATTAAATTGATAAATTGTTGAAATTGTTGTCTCCGTTATTAAATGTATATAAATTGTTATTTAATGAATCAAAAAAGTGTGCCAGTTCGAAAAGGAAGTATTTTAAACTTTTACTTGTTCAAATATTTTTAAATAATTTTTAATAAATGTAATTAAGTGATTAATAAAACTGTTAAAGTACATTATAAATTATTATTATTCATAACATTACTAACGTAGTTGCGTAATGAAATCCATTAAGTCGGGAATTAAACTTTAGTGCATTCAATATATTTTCAAGTTCAATTAGTTCCAAAAAGAAGTCTAGACTTCTTTTTAGACAATATTGTACAAACAAATTTTATTCCACGTTTCCAACTTATTTTTGCTTGTAAAATAATTTTATTTCGTTTTTTCGATTGTATCACCCGTCCTGGCTTCTATCAAACTCTCCAGATATAACAATAATAACAGAAACTAGAGCGATATGATAATATAATAAATAAATTTTAAAAAATATTTTTAAATCCAACAGTATTCTATTTCTGCTAAATGATAATGTATTAATACTAATAGGCAAAGGAAATGTTTACCTAACAAAAGTATCTTGCGCAGGAGAACCGTCAGTACCAATCAGATCCCTGGCTTCCAAGACGCTTACAGCTAGATCGCCTTCGCAGTCGCTTCCACGACCACCCCATCTCTCATATTCGAGTCCAACACAGATATGACCTACGATGGGCGTCTCTTCCAAATCGTTTAAGTTGACGCTAGTATCGGAACATACGCTCTCACAACTGATCGCTCTTTTTAAAGTGGATTCATCAGGCGGTGGTTCCGGCTCGGGACCTAGTGAACTTCGACGATTTCCCGATCTGACGTTATTGAAATCATTTATCGCGTAACCTAAATATGACTCCTCCAGACTCTAAGAATCACAAATGATAAACTTCTTATTTTATATTGCTTGTGAAGTGATTTGTCATATTTTTAAGAAAATGTTATTGCCTGTGAAAGTCGTCTCTGCAATTGTACCTCCTCTAAAGCAGCATAGAGTTCCTGGCTATTCCTTCTCCTACAAAAGTAAATTGTGCAAACATTTATATATTTACATACACCCCCTCCCCATACACATGCATACATACATATTAAAATTTTACGATTAAAAGATATAAATTACAATCTAAATGACATTGCGCTATTTTTTACGAGTATGAGAATGTCTATACCTTGAGGAATCGGCAGCATCAAGTTCTACAAATTCGTGAATACCATTCAGTCTTTCTATACTTTTACGTCTTTGTTCGAGACTATTAAAAATATCCTAGAAAGTGTTATAATTTTGATTAAGAAAGATATGTTATGCTATCAAATATTTCTTACAGTCACAATATAAGTTTCTTTTTAATCGAAAATATATACCTCTGACGTTCGGGTAAAACTTGGATCTGAAAAATAAGACTCGTGATTGTGATCTTTAAGCAACAAGGGAGACGACGGTGGATCTTGTAAACTATTGTATACCTATAAATAAAACAAACAAAAATTAAAAACAATTAGGAATAAAGAAGAATAAGTATTATTGATGTTATATGAAATAAAAATTATGAAAGTAAAGTCGTACTTCTTGTGCCGTTCTGTGAGCTTCAAGATTTAATTCAGGACTATAAAGATCAGAACTCCGTCTCGAGCCGTCGAGACCAGTCAGGTCTGGATCTGTCTCCGCATAAATATCTCGCATATCTTGTAAGTATTCAACATCCTGTAAATGATCTTCAGTGCTATCATTCATAAACGATGGTGATGTCGATGGAAATGCAAGTCGCTGTACTTGCTGCGCTGAGGATAGTACCGAACTATGAACAAAGAAATGTAACATATTATAATTCAAGAGAAAAATCAGTGAAAATGTTTTCTAAAATTGATTAAATATTTTAAAAAATTATAATATTTAGTTGGTATCACATTCTATTTGTATTGTGTATTTCTTTAATTGAAAAAATTTAAATTAATGTTTTAATGTGAAAAAAATTTTAATAATGCATACTAACAGATTAATGTTTATAATAGAAAAGACAAAAATTATGGGTATATTGCATTTTTGATTATTTTATATACAAAATGTTAAAAATTTATTTGCTTTTATTTTAAATATATTTGATTTTTAATTATTTACTTATAAAATTCCGAAGCATCTATGTAGCTCTGCGAGGTAACTGATCTGAGCGCGCTGAAGATTCTCTCGCCGGTTGTCGGACTCTTTTTTGTAATCTTCTGAGATAAGTCCGGGGGTGCAGGTGGCGGCGGTATCGGACTCAGGGCAGACTCGCTCGCAATTTTCGTCTCATCCACCATCGAGTCTTGAATTGCGTTTGCGAATAGTATCGATTCACGATTTGAGCGTGCCTGAAGCTCATTCATGGATTCGTAGACAGGAAGATCGGGCAGGCTCTGAATGTATTGCGAGACTCGCTGAAGATCATGCGACTTGGACAGGTCGCTGTGAAACATGTAGGAATCGATATCTTCTTGATGGCCGGAAGTACTCTTGAACGGAGTCATCTCGATGTTCTGCATATCGCTATTTTTTCGGTTAAGATCGCCGTTCAGTTCCTCGCTATTCTGAAGCATCTTGGAGATAGTCTGCGGCCCGTACATCGACTCCATGATCATTTGGTTAGCTGCATTTGATGAATTCGTCGTGCTGAAGCTATCCGAGAACCCTCTGGATTCATTCCTCCCGTATGGTCGCGCGACGTGATTCCTCTGGACGATCTCGTAGCTGCCGTAACTTCTATTGACCTCCTCGTCGCTTAACTTGTCATGACGATTATCTAGGGGTGCGCTTATACCGTATCTGAGCCACGCCGGCTCTTTGGAAGAAGGAGGCTCAAATTGCCTGTAAAATTGACGTAAAAAGATCAAATAGAGACAGCTTTATAGTTTTAGCCTTTCCGATCTAACTATGTAAATAAATTAGTATATTCGGGAAAAATATTGTTTATCAAAAGCTTTCATATTGTACCTGATTAATCTAGAATCTACATGGTTCTGACTAGAATAAGGTGTCATTTGAATGCTTTCCGTTATCGTATTCGCAGGACCATTGTCAAATATGAAGGAACGCTCGATCGACTGGAAAGGGTCGCGATTCTTCGGTGGTTCGCTCTGAAAGAGAAACACGGACGGACCGGGGGCTCTCGATCGTATCGACCCTCTTTGCATCGACGGTGGTGGCGTCAACGGACCCGAGTTGGTTTCGTGCATCCTGATATAGTCGACAGTACTCGACGTCTGAAGCGGCGACGGCCTCGGACGAGCGGTCGACCGTGGTTGAGGAGCGGGCCTTAATGGTTGAGGTGGTATCGTGCTGCCACCGAGGGGCGGATGTAGATCCCTGTCGACAGCCTCAAATCTGTATGTAACAGTATGAAGGTGTAATATATCTTTCTTTTATATGTGTAATAGTATACTATATTTTAACTTGATTTATAGTCAATAAATTTGATTTAATTCAATGTTATTATGTTATAAAAAACACAAGTGCAAAATATACAATTGCAAGACTTTCTTTATTTTCGTGTCAAGAATTTTAATATTATTTTTAATATTATATTTTAAATTAACGTTTTCAGTCAATTAGTCTCAATTAATTGTATTTATAATGTGTAAAGAATGTTATAATTTGGTTTAAATTAATTTATTGTATGCGAATATTATAAAATTGTATGTAATTGTTTAATCGATTGCACATGTACCTGGTAAAGGCGCCTTGTGCATCTAATCGAAGATCGCTATCACTATGCAAGAGATGTTGAGAGGAATTCCCAGTCTGGCGATATAGACCTGGTATTGTCTGGGCAGTTGGATGCTGAGCCTTTACTAATCCAACCTTTAAATAATATATTATAATTGGGCATAACTTAAAATAATAGACTATAATAATATAAGGCCGTAAAAGAAATTTTAATTCTGGATAAGTATTTCGCATTCTTGCTCTTTAAAATATTAAAACATAACGATTATAGTTTCTTTTTCACAACACAATTATGAAATTGAAGAAGAAAATTCTGCATATGAAAGTATTAAAGTAGAGCTAGCTATCAAAAAATCAATAGTTTATAAGAGATATTGTATTTTGGCATACTTTATAATAAAATATAAAATATCTCGTGTAAACTATTAATTTTTTAATAACTGTATGTACTTTAATACTATTATGCATAGAATAATGAGAATTAATTAATATATAGAAAACGCATAATTACTTTTCAAAAAAATAATACAATTTGTAATATATGGTTATATATCCTTTTTGGAAAGCATACACAATTCCGTGTTTTCTATATATTAATTGAATAATTCATCTCATTATTCAGATCGTACAACTTTTGTCTGAAACATTCTTTTGTGAAAGACTAGGGAAAAAAATATGTATTTAGTTAGGAACATTAAAATTCCACTCTGTATGCATACTGTATATACACTGTGTATACAGATGAATTTTTTGGAATTTTAATATTTTAAAAAAAGATTATAATTTAAAAAATTTTAAAATTTTAAAATTTACAAAAAAAAGAGGAAATTTAACCAAGACATCACTCATGTCTAAAATTGAAACGATGTCTTTAAGATATTCTTTAGACATAATTTTGTTAGATATGATAATAGACATGTCTAAAAAATATCTTAATCGCGTTTTTAAGATTGTCTTAAGATCGAGAAGTTTTATGTTCTAATTTTAGACGTATCAATATTACCAGTAAGATATTTTTCAAAAATTTTTATAAATTTAAAGTATAAAACTTTTTAAAAATATAACATAAGATATTACACAAGAATTTTCGCCAGGAGAAATCCAAATATAATTTAATTCGTATTTTGAAATATTTTACCTTTTCTTCCCGCGGTGCCCAAAGCCAGGAAAGCCTCTGTCTCCATTCCTCACAAACGCTCCAGAAATTCCTGGTGTCAAATTGCCATCCAATGCAATATCTGCGGAATTGACGCGATTACAGAAGCTAAACGCTAATTATGCTGCATGATCATGAGGTAACGTGTTTGAAACGCAAAAATATCAGACATGTTTTTGTAAAATAAAATAGAACTGTTAAAAATAAAATTAATAATTGATTTGTTTATGAGACATTGCTTTGATTGCTGTTTGTTGTAATTTAAATAAATTTGTCAAAACAATTTAATAATAAAATTATACTTTACAAGTAAATTGTAAATTATATATATGTGTATTTTTAATCTATAAATAATTTTTGTATGTATTATAAATAATGTTGAATAAATTATACTTTCTAATTTCTTATATCTTCTGTACATCTTTTTGTTAGAATTCTTTTATAAAATGCTTTGTTATAGAATTCTTTTAACACACGTATACATATTAAGCATAAGTTCAAGCTTTCTACATTAATTAAATAAATTATTTCATTCATTTTTCCACACATTTTTTAACTGCGTTTGCTACATTATGTAATTCTATAGAGTAATTAAATTATTTGGATGCTTATAGAAATTTAACATTATTCATGCTCAAATTTCATTATTTTCATAATACACTTTTAAGTAAAACGAAAATTTAATTTATTATTAGAGGAGGAAGAATAAATGAAATTCGAACAAACACCAAATTGTTAGTGTAATAATTATTCGTTAAATAATGATTTCATCTGTTGCACACATTAACGTGTCTTCTACAGATATACATATAAATAATCTTAAAAAACACGGTAATGTCTTGCAATAAATTTCGAACACATAGCGCGAGACATAGCCTCGTGAATCTATATGTACGAGCAAGCCAGCATTAAAAAATGATCTAAAAGATTATTTATTAGATTTATTTATTTAAAAAATAGCTAGATTGAGTTTTTATTAAGCTCAATCAATAGTTTGGATTTAATTTATGTAATAAAAATATCCTGATTATACTTATACTTAATATCATACTTATTAATTTATCATTTATTATATTTATTTAAACACATTTCTTTTCAAATATCAAAAATTTGCTTCTAAACATATTTGGAGAAAAAATAATACTCTAATTTTTTAATATCTTTTTATTATATTTATATAACATAATTTATGCAAAAAGATAAATCATTATAATATAATAACCATGATATGTACATTATATGATTGATCACAAAACCATTTTATGAAATTTAAAATTTAAAGTAAAATTAGAAACAGAATTGTATGTATTGTGCAATACTGAAACCATTTTTTAAATTAAGTGCTTGTTAGTTAAAAATGTAAATATATAATAATATAATGACAAAAGATTTTTATTACAACTTTTTATATTATTTTACACAGATTTTTTAATAGTATATAGATATAAATACAATAAAAATATATTTGATTTTACTGACAATTATAAATTGGTGTTAGTTTTTGAGATCAAATCTTTTATGTGGAGAAAGGAGGGAGGCTCATGTGTTTGGTGTCTTCTTACCTTTTTCATGTTTTTATGTCAACAATTATAAACAAAGAAGAAAATATCAAAAATTATCAAATTGAGGACTAAGAATGGCATTTATAATTATTTTTTATGAATTGATAATTTTTTTATTACATATAATTTAGAGATGTGCGAATAGTTCGAATTCGAATCAAATCGAATCTGCAAGATTCGAAATCGAATAGTTCGACAATTTCGAATCATCAATGGTTCGATTTCGAATCGATCGCCTATTTTATTTAATTCATTTACATTTCCGGCACGACCAATTATTCTTATCTAATAAATAAGTATTTTTGATATATGTAATGTATTCATATAGATTAATAAAATATTCGAAAGCATACTAACTATTCGTGTACACACATATTATTAATATTTTCTAGTTCAAAATGTCACGTAAGATCATGATCCTTTGTAATGAGATGTAAATCGAAAACAGGTCTTCAGTTTGTTTAAATCATTGCGTAAAATAATGTAAATCATAAATTTTGATATTTATTACGTTTAAAATAACATGTAATGTTAATCCAGGAAAATTGGATTTAGATTCGATTCGTATTCAAATTAAAGGGATTCGATTCGATTCGATTCGATTTCGAACATGTTATAAAAAATTCGATTCGACCATGCAAATGCTTGATTCGCACATCTTTAATATATTTACTATATGCTACATGTGTAAATGAATATTTCTCTATATTTTCTCAAAATCGTGAATATGATTTGTGAATCTCAATCAAAAATTTTATTTTAATAATTGGATTGATATTATTAGGAGCTTATTTTAAGTGTTATATTAAAATTATTATTGTTACCTTTTGCAAACGACAAATGTGACGCCAACAGTGATAACGATCAGAACTATTCCAAGTCCGGTAAGAACCCAACCCATACTTAGTTTTGAATGCTAAATGCGAAAGATTCTACAAGACCTGTAAAACCTGAAACACGCAAATTTATAAAATTAATATTTTAATCGCATTACAGAACTAGTAAATAATGAAAAAATGTAAAATATATTACAGCCTTTGGGAGCTAGCTAATACGGATGTTGGTGTATATTAATTTTTACTGAGCGCCGCATATTTGTCGGACTTGAAAACATAGCTTATACATATTACGTAAGGCCGGAATCCACTTGTAACAATTAAATTGACTAGCAATTTAATCTCTTTCTCAGGCTGCGTAAATTCAAATAATTTTTAAAAGAGCTCCCGAGAATGTCATATATGTATAGTACAGTAAAAGCCTATGGCTAGCTAACACGGATGCTGGTGTGTATTAATTTTTACAATATCCAGCCATACGCGAACTGCGCGCCGCATATTCGTCGGACTTGAAAACACAGCTTACATAAAGCTGGAAATCCACTTATAACAATTAAATTAACTTATAGCAATTTAATCTCTTTAATGCTAATGTGCATCATATAAAAAAGTGTGTATTTTTTATTTAACTGATATTCATTTGCAACTATAAAAATATTTAGGTTTTGTTAGTAATCAACACAGTGTGTGTGTATATGTATGTATATACATATATACATACACATGTATACATATATGTACAAGTGTGTACAACATTGATATAAAGTGTATAAAAATTTCACAAATTTTTAATAAAAAAATATTTATATAGCAAATGCTCTCTACTTCTTTGAAGTGTATAAAGTGAGAATGTTTAATTAATTAATTAATTTTAATAATGAATATGCATAATTGCGATTAATAAATTGCAAGTTTAAAAGAGTATTAAAGTTTGAACACAATCAAAAATATATGTAGAGAAGCCACATATTGGCAAAATAATACCTTTACTTTTATTTGATACTCTTTTTTTGTAATTTGTTAGTGGGAACAACGATGGCAATTAATGGTAAGATTTTAGCTTTTAAGAAGAAAGCAAAAGAAAGGAGGGGTGTCAATAAGGCCGTTTTTTGGACCACGTCAGAATCGCTCCAAACTGTGGTATTTTCTTCCTACCGATGTAGCTCACAACCTCCTAGAACCGTTTGCTGTCCGAGCAATTAGAGTCTGAGAACGGGCAACTTGAAATCTCAAAAATCAATGGAGTTTTCACATGGTGGTAGTGCCGGTCTCATTTCAGCATGTCATTGTTGAGCTTCCATCACCATA